GGCTGTCATTCTCCTGTAGTGCCCTTCCTCACCTCCTACCCCTCCTGACTCCCACTTATCCTACACACTCCCTCCAGCCAGCCCCTCCTCCCCAGGCTGGATTAGGACCTTCTCAGTTGGCTCCTAGTTCCTATTTCCTGTCTCCCTAACACCAAGCTCAAGGTGAGCACAGAGGAGGAGCCTGACATATTTGCTGATTAAATGAAGGCCACATAGTTCTCATATAGGTAATTTTTTTTTTTTCCACGGTGAGGCCCTCAAACTTGTCCTGACATTACCTTTGTTTCCTGCAGACGGAGAAATTGGAAGTTTCAAGTTCTGAAGTGAAATTAAACTGGCCTGGCCTGTCATCGAACCCAAAGAGGTAAAAGGAATTTACTTTGGGCTCGAGGTAAGTGAAAGGGAGCATTTTGGGGAGCATGCTTTGTGCCAGGCTCAGCTATTACTTCCTCCCCACCTCTTAGTTAACCCTCGCCACAGTCCCGAGTGGTTATTCTCACTGTTCAAGGAAGGAGTCTGGGCTCAGCAATCTCTGTCCCCATGTCAGAGTGGTGCCCACCAAGACTGGGGACGCCCGCCTAGGAGGATCCCAGAGCTGACAGTGCCTCTCTGCCCTGTCTTGCAGACACATGGTTAATCTGACCCCCTTGGTCCTCAGTCCTGGAGGCTTCCATTTCTCGTACCTGCCCAGAAACGGTGTGCACAAGCTCCACTACCCTGGCTTCCCCTGGTAAGTGTGCTTCTGAGCATCCCTGGGGCCAGGTACCATTCTGGCTCAGCCTCTGCTTTGCTTCTGACCAGCATGGTGGTGGCGTGGCCAAGGGCTAGGCAAATGGTCTTTATGATGATGCCTTCCACTTCCAGGAAGGACCCTTATGTAATCAGGAGTGCTGGAAAAGCTCCCTACTGTTTGTCATGGTGAGAAATTAGAAACAGCCCAGAGGCCAACAGAAAGGGAATGATTCCATCAACTGTGGGCAGCCCTATCTGTGATTTATATACACGCTTGTTTTGCAAAGCAGGGATTTACTGAATATGGGGTTTTAAAAATCACCCGTGTTTTCACTTACGGATATTAAGTATTTCCTGTATCATTGAGTGTTATTCTAAAATATGATTTAGACTGGCTGTTTCATTGCATCAGATAACTTTAAAAAATATTTCTTCGTTGATTTTAGAGAGGAAGGAAGAGGGGGAGAGAGATAGAAACATCAATGATGAGAGTGAACCATTAATTGGCTGCCTCCTGCACGCTCCCCACTGGGGATCAAGCCTGCAACCCAGGCATGTGCCCTTGTCCAGAATCAAACCTGGGACCCTTCAGTCCGCAGGCCGACACTCCATCCACTGAGCCAAACCGGCTAGGGCCAGATAACTTTTTTAATAGCTTTATTGATATATTATTACTTACATATTACATAATTAACTTACATTAAAGTATACAATTCAGCTCTACCCGGTTTGGCTTAGTGGATAGAACATCGGCCCTTGGACTGAGGGGTCCTGGGTTTGATTCTGATCAAAAACACGTACCTGGGTGGCAGGATTCATCCCGACCCTGGTTGGGGCACGTGCGGGAGGCAACCAAATGATGTGTCTCTCTCACATTCTTGTTTCTCTCTCTCTGTCTTTCCCCCTCCCTTCCACACTCTCCCTAAAGATCAGTGGAAAAAATACACTTTGGTGAGGATAAAAAAAAACACACCCACCTTTAATTTCACCAATAATAATAGATGCAAATACTCCATTGTATGGATGGAACATCATTTACTGAACCATTCTTTAAAAAAAAAGATTTTTATTGATTTTTAGAGAGAGAAGGAGGAAGAGGGAGAGAGAAACAGCTATCTGCTACCTCCTCCGCACACCTACTGGGCATAGAGCCTGAAACCCAGGCATGTGCCCTGAGAGGGGAATCCAACCAGCAACCTTCCAGTACTTGGGGCAATGCCCAACCAGATGAGCCACACTGGCCAGGGCTCAACCATTCTTGCCTGTTGAAGTATTTCACAATTTTTAGGTTCTTGTTACATATTGATTTCTGAGAGCTGTGCTCTCATGATGCCACCTGCAAAAATAGGTTATTTTTAATTGGTTTAAAAATTTTTACAAAAGCAGAACACATTCCATGGGGAAAAGTTCACAATACAGAAATGCATACATAAAATATGAGTCCTCTTGTTGCTAAAAGTCCTGCTGCTAAGAGTTTCATGTGTACCCCTCCAGCACACACATACACACACACATACACTCACAGGTTAATTTTTCAACCAAAGCAGGATCACATTGTATGTACTTCTCAGCAACTTGCTTTTTTCCATTTACTGTAGCGTTGGGGTGTCTTTACTTGTTGGGATATACAGACCTACCTCATTCCTTTAATGGCCCCAGAATAGTCCATTGCATGGCTGTACCTGGTTCCCTAATGGATGTTTAGATTGTTTCCAGGTTTTCACAATCACAACATTGCTGCAGGGAGCAGCCTTGAACAAACATTTTTGGGAGAGATTTTTGGAAGTATAAATGTGTCTAGAGTCATCCCACCGCCTGGGAAGGGGGGTTGTCATGTGTACCCCTGATGGTGTTGATGTCCCATCTCATGGACATATCTTGGCTGTCGCCTGCACAGGACCTCAGCCTGTAATGACTCCCCCAACACCGAGGAGACACCATCCCCTCCTGTGGAGACCCCCGTTTTCACTCCACCTGTCCTGCTCAAGTTCCAGCCTGTGCCCAGACCTAGAGATGACTCAGAGACTGACCATGGCAGTGCACAGTCTGTGCCCCACAAGCGGGGCCCATAACCTCTTCCCTGCAGACTGTGGCGGAGGAATGAATAAAGTTCTCATGGAGGTGCCTTTGCATGCTGGGCTTCTTAGGGGCTGTGCAATCCCATGGGCTCCCTGCACCCTGAAGAGCTTGTCAGGGTAGTGCTGTCCTGAGGCCTGGAGGCCTGAGCTTACATACATTAGGTGGTCAGGTCAGTGCTACTGTGAACTCCCCTCCCTCGCCATCTAACATGGGAATTCAGCCACGTGCATCTTGAAAGAGAAATGAGTGAGGAGAGAGCGATGCCTTTCCCTGCAGTGACTCTGTGGCCCCTCACTTGACCCACTGACTTGCAAGTCTGCCTTTTTTCTTCCTACACCTGGCCCCTGAACACAAGCCTCATCTGGGTACAAGTTTAGAAACAGTGATCTGTTCCCTCCCTAGAGTAAAGTGAGCTGGTGTGTCAGTTTCCAACTTGGCACCTTCCTAAGGAATTTCAAAGATAGAAACAAACCTGCGTGTGAGATGTGAGCCTTCACAAAACAATGACTGATGGACATTAGCAGATACTCATTGAGCCTTTGTGTATGTCCCACAACTTGTCTGGGACTGGAGATAATAAACCAAGCAGTTGGGGGCCCCTTCCCTTAAGGAACTTACATCCATCCCATCCGTGTGTGTGTGTGTGTGTGTGTGTGTGTGTGTGTGTGTGAGAGAGAAACCAGTATATAGATCAAATTAATACCGATTACAAGTTGTGATAAGCCCTATGGGAGCTGAGATGGAGATGTATGGGGTGTGTGGGTGGGCGAGGAAGGTCTCTTTGAGGAGGTGACACATGTTGAAACCTAGAAATGAGAAGGGGCCAGCCATGAGGTGAGATGAGACGGGCAGGACAACTGGGTTTGGGTAACTAGGTGGAGAGTGGTATGGTGGGGGAGGGTGGAGACGGGGTGAGGGAGGAGAATTCCGCTTTGAGGAGACATTAAATTGGGAATCAGCGGGTACCCGAGTAGAGGTCAGGAGTTTGGATCCTGGCAATTTAGTGTTGGGGTCAGGGGTTACCAGTGGACTTAAAACCAACCGCAAGACTGGGCAAGGTCACTAGTACTTGAGTGTAGACAGACGTCTGGGGCTCTGGCCAAGGGAAGGGTGGGTCAGAAGATACTCAAGGGATCAGTGAGGGCTTTGGACCTTCTGGCTTGGGCCACTCAGGAGAAGGCCCTGGAGGCTCCGGAAACCCAATGGGTGGGGAGAATGGGAGGTGAGCGGGTACATAGTGATTGTGGACGTCGCTTTGGAGACATCTGTCAGTGAGGGGAGCAAAAATGGAACGGAGGCTGGTGGGACTTCAGGCTCCAGGCGGGCTACTTAAAAGACCTGAGGCCTGACTGGGTGGTTCAGTGGTTGAGTGTCCACCTATGAACCAGGTGGTCACAGTTCCATTCCCTGCAGGGGCACATGCCTGGATTGCTGGCTCGATCCCCAGTGGGAGGCGTGTGAGAGGCGGCCAATTGGTGGTTAGCTCTCATGGTTGATGTTTCTGTCTCTCCTCCCTTTCTGAAATCAATAAAAATACATTAAAAAAAAAAAAAAAGACCTGAGGATCCAGGTCAAACGAAGACGGGTTTGAGTGGGGAGGGCACTGAGTCGGGCTGGGAGGGAAGGCGAAGCGCTTGGCAGAAGACGGGCTTCGAGTCAGAGGCAGCTCAGCTCTGACCGAACAAGAGCCCAGTTGGGAAACTCGGCTCAGGGACCGGCTGCGACAGCGACCGGCGCGCTGGCCTCCAGGGACCACAATTCCCGGCATGCTCAGCGCCCACTTCCGGGCGGGACCCGGAAGTACTTAAGGATCTCGGCTGGAACGCGGCGGACGCGTCTGGCTGGGTCGTATGTTGACGATTTTCCGCGTTCGCTGGTCCTGCTGCCGCCGCCGCCGCCGCCCCCGCCACCGTCGCCACCATGGGGAAGCGACAGCACCAGAAAGACAAGATGTAAGTTGAGCCGCAGCCAGGCGCTCCTGGCTCTGCCTGAGTCCCGCTCGGCTTCCGTCTCCGCCCGTTCCGCGCTCTGCCATGTCTCCCGCTCCCGCTTTCAGAGTGGACCCCAGGACCCCCTCAGGTGTCGCTTCCTCCCGAAGCTTCCGTCCCCTTAGGTGGAGCAATACCTTCCCCTCCCCCGCAGCCGCCCAAATCTCCCGCTTGGAGGCGTCTGCTCTCCTTCTAGAATCTAGACCGTAAGTGCCCTCACCTGGGCGCGGCCTTCCCACCTGCGCGCTCCTCAGACACAGCCCCTGACTTCCCTTTTGCCCTGTCCGCTCGCGGGCTCTGCTCCTGAGCCTCCTGTCTCTCCCAGGGCGCTGGTCCCTGCGCAGCAGCTGACACACACGTGCAGAACCTTCCGGTGTCAAACACCCACAGTTCCCTCCAGCTGTCACCTGCTTCTAGCGTGAAGGCTGTGTCCACTGGCTCTTTTCTGCTGTCTCTAGAAACGACTTCGGTCAGGCTTTCGTGCCCAGCACTACTCTTTTTATTTTTTCTTTTAATTTTTTTATTGGTTAAGTTATTACATAGGTGTCCTTAACCCCACGTTACCCCCTATCTCCCCACCCCCCATGCCCGCACCCCCCTGTTGTCTGTGTCCATTGGTTAGGCCTATATGCTTGCATACAAGTCCTTACCCCCACCCTCCCCCACCTTCCCTCTGAGGTTTGACGGTCTGATCGATGCTTCTCTGTCTCTGGATCTGTTTTTGTTCATCAGTTTATGTTCATTATATTCCACAAATGAGTGAGATCATGTGGTATTTACTTTTCTCTGACTGGCTTATTTCACTTAGCATAATGCTCTCCAGGTCCATCCATGCTGTTGCAAATGGTAAGAACTCCTTTTTTACCGCAGCGTAGTATTCCATTGTGTACATGTACCACAGTTTTCTAATCCACTCTTTTTATTTTTATTTATTTTTTAATATATTTTTATTGATTTCAGAGAGGGAGAGAGAGGTAGAAACATCAGTGATGAGAGAGAATCATGGATTGGCTGCCTCCTGCACGTCCCCTACTGGGGATGGAGCCCCCAACCCCGGGCATGTGCCCTAGACTGGAATCGAATCCGGGACCCTTCAGTCCGCAGGCCGACGCTGTATCCACTGAGCCAAACCAGCGAGGGCCCCAGCACTGCTCTTGTCAGGATCCCAGTGACGTCCATGTTGCTCAGTCTGGTGGTCAGTTCTCAGTCCTCATTTGGTCGTGCTCCTCAGCAGCATGTGACACGACTGGCCACCTCTCTCCTTCCGAGCCCTTCTTGGGGCTCCTCCTCCCCTTCCCCTAGTGGGTGATCGGTCTGGTCTTGCAGTAGTCAGCTGCTTACTCACATCTTCACCTGAAAGTCTAATGGAAATCTCAAATTTAACATGCCTAAAGGAGAACCTTCTTTTTCAGAGCCCGAGCCTCTCCTCCCTCATTTTCCCCGACGCAGTTGGCTCAGGTCAGAAGTCTGGGAGTTCGCTTTGGCACCTCTTTCCCTCAGCAGTTTTTTTCTCCAGCCCATTGGCAAGTCCTGCTGGCAATTTCAGGAACTGACCGCTCTCTCGCCCACCAGCTCCCACAAAGGGGAGTTTATGTCAGTGTCTTGGACCTTGGTAGTTATCTCCCGGTTGGGTTTCTGCTGCCTCTCTTGCTTGTCCCTCCATAGGAAGCAACCAGAGGGATGCTTTGAGGACGTACGTTAGGTCGTGTCAGAGCTCAACCCCTCCAACAGCTTTCCATCCTGTCTACAGCAAACCCAGGGCCCACATGGCCCGCAGGCCCCTTGTGATCGGGCCACCGTTGGTGTCTCCTTCACCTGCTGCCACGTGGCCCCACGAGCAGTCAGTGGCTTCACCCCTTTATGGGGACACAACAGCTTTTCCTGCTTCTCGGCTTTTATAGGTGATACGCCTGCTTGGTCCTCCTGCCTGGAAAGCTCTTCCCCCAGATCTTTATGTGGCTGGCTCCTTCTCACCATCCAGCCTCTGTTAAGTTCAGTTCATTTTCTTCAGAGCAAAGCAGGACTGTTTGTATTTGTTCCTTGTTTGTGTATCCCCATGTCTATTGTGATTATCAGTATGTGACTTTTGCATAGTAGGTGTTTAAGAAACATTTGCTGACTGAGTAAAATGATTCAGTCATCCATTACTTCCGGAGACTGTCCTCTTTACAAAGGGGGTGGAAGTAAGATTTCTCTTTCTCTCCTTCAGGTACATTACCTGTGCTGAATACACTAACTTCTATGGTGGCAAGAAACCAGGTAAGGCGTGAAATCCTCTTCCCCTTGGTATGTGTGGGGGTGTAATTAAGGAATGATGTCTTCACAACAATGAGCCTGTAAAAAATAACAATGGCCCTGGCTGGTTTGGTTCAGTGGATAGAGAGTCGGCCTGCAGACAAAAGCGTTCCAGGTTGGATTCAGGTCAAGGGCACATGCCAGCTTGCAGGCTTGATTCCCAATAGGGGGCGTGCAGGAGGCAGCCGATCAGTGATTCTCATCGATGTTTCTATCTCTCTCTCCCTCTCCCTTCCTCTCTAAAATCAATAGAAATATATTTAAAAAATAATACTAACAATGAACAAGAACATGGAAACTATAGTAGACAAATGGGCTGAGGACACAGACAAGTCAGAAAAGAGGAAGATATATTAGAAAATGTCTAATCTTGGTGTGATTTTTAAATATATTTTTATCGCCTGGCTGGTATAGCTCAGTGGATTGAGCATCATCCCATGGAACAAGAGGTCCTGGGTTGGATTCCCAATCAGGGCACATGCCCAGGTTTTGGGTTCAATCAGCCGATCAATGTATCTCTCTCATCAGATGTTTCTGTCTCTCTCCTTCTCTCTTCCTCTCTGAAATCAATAAAAATATATTTTATTAATTAATTAATTTATTTTTAACTCTTTATTGTTGACAGTATTACATATGTCACCCTTTTTCCCCCATTGGCCCCCCTCCAGCCCACCCTTGCCCCAGGCCCTCTCACCCCACTATCTTCGTCCATGGGTTATGCGTATACACATAGGGCGATTTTAGTTGATTACCTTCCACCCACCCACCCTACCCCACGTTCCCTCTCAGATTCCACACACTGTTCCATGCTTCCATTTCTCTGGATCCACTCTGTTCATCAGTTTATTCTGTTAATTAGATTCCACATATGAGTGAGATCATGTGATTCTTGTTTTTCTCTGACTGACTTATTCACTTAGCTTGATGCTCTCCAGGTCCCTCCATGCTGTCTCAAAGGGTAAGAGATTCTTCTTTCTTACTGCTGCACAGTATTCCATGGTGTAAATGTACCACAGCTTTTTTATCCACTCATCTCCTGATGAGCACTTGAGCTGTTTCCAGATCTCAGCTATTGTAAATTGTGCTGCTAAGAACATAGGGGTGCATACATTCTTTCTGATTGGTGTTTCGGGTTTCTTAGGATATATTCCTAGAAGTGGGATCAC